CCAGCCCCTGCTACCAAATGGCCAGTGGGTTTACAGTAAGGAAGGGGGCACAGAGTAAGGAAAGTTTAAAAGGGGAAGATCTGAAGGTAGGGGGGGGAAAACGCCTTTTTCTGTTTTTAGGATGAAAGTAATTCAGTGGCCAGTGAAGGTAAGGGGACTACTGCCCCCGCCCAATGGAGGTAAGCGGGATTTTTTGTGGTTTGGGGACTCTCCCGGGAAAATATATTGACCCTGCTTTTTTTAAAAAGGAAAAGAAGATGAGAGATAGAGTGTGCCCTTTCCCCGGAGCTGGTTTTGGGGACATTGTCAACGGTGGGTAATATTTATGTCAGGTAATGGGGAAAAACCCCCTTACTGATCAAATGCTGGTGGAAATGAATTGGGGAAGGGGGAAAGGGAGAGGGGGAAGGCTGTAATAAGTACAGGGCAGCTATAGATTTCTTAAGTCTAAGGGAGGGGGTCCCAATCATATTAGCATCTTGCCTAGAAGGGGAGTAGGAAATGAATGGGGGTTTCTAGGGGAATTGGGGTAAATTTTGGCTAGAAGATAAATGCCCAAAGGGAAATTGCAATCCCCTTCATTGACAACTGGGAAAAACTTTTAAAGGCAAAAAATTTATATGTATAAGGGGTGGGGTAAATCTCTCTGGGGCTGGGTTTGGGAGCACTTGCAGACTCGATTGAGAAGGCCATTGGTTAAATGCCCATGAATTTTTTAAAATGATGGAAGATAGAGGTTTTTGGGTGTTTGTGGGAAAAAAAAGCAGGTTTTCAACACTTGGGTTGGGAAAAAGTAAATGTAAAAAGGCATTCAGCATAAGTTATTTAAATTTTAAAGGGCAAAAGATCAGGTCAGCAAACAAAAGGGGGGCAGCAGAGGGGCAGCCCGGGACTAGCTCCCTTAAAGGGTTTAAATATACTAAAAGCAGGAATGGGGGAAAAAATTTAAAAAGATGAGGGAAGATTAATTGCCAAATGCAGGAAAAACATAGATATTATTGCTAAAACAGAGACCTGGCTCAATCTGAAAGATAGGGGAGATGCCCTTTTGGGAAAGTCACATACAAGGCTTTTAAATTAAATTTCCCCAAATGACAGGGTCAACAGGAAAGGTGGGAGTAGCGATGTATTCAGAGACAATTTAAATTTTTTTGTGTTAGACAAGATTTTTAAATTAGAAACGTCAGCCACTGAATCGTTTGGTTTTCAGCTTCTCGAGGGCCCCAGAAAAAATAAATTTTGGGGGTGATTTACAGGGGCCCCAAATCTTGATTTGGGAGTGCCCGTAAAAAATTTTATGGGACGAAATTTTGTTTAAAGGGATCTACTACGAAAAAAGTTTTGCTAAAGGGAGATTTCAAAATATAGACAGATTGATGGAGAATTTTTAAGGAAAATTTAGAGTCAGGTTTCCTTTTTTTATACGATTTCCCGGTTGTTTTTTTAAAAAAGTTTTTTGACAGAGCCAACTAGGGAAAATAAAACCTCCTTGGGGCTTGGTTTTTTGCCAGTAGGGAAACACTAATTTAAAAATCTTGAGGTTTAAAGATGGCTTGGGGGAAAGTGATCACAAAACATCAGGTTTAATATATCATGGAATTCCCCCTAATAATTTGCAATTTGAGTCTCCGTTTCCCCGACTTTCGCTTTGGGTGATTCCATAGGGGCTGAAAAAAAAACTTAAAGGGGGGTGAACTGGGGAAAACCTGACTAAAGGGGCAGGTAGGTGGTGATGGTTGCCCATATTGATGGGTTTCCAGGGGATAGTTCTAGCTGCTTTAGGGGGGGGGATCAAATTATGTTCCAAAAAGGGGAAAACAGATCAAACAAAAAAAGAACCTAAATGGATAAAAAATAATTTTAAAAAATTTTGATTGGGCCAAAAAAGAGGCATATATAGGGGAAAACAAAAGGGAGGGGGGGCAATTAAGAAATTTGATAATTTTTAGTTTAAAAAGAGAAATAAAAAAAGGGGGAAATTTGAAAAAACAAAAAAAAGATTAAGGGTTAAAGTTGTAAGAAAATCGAAGACCCAACCCCAAAAAGGGTTCTTTCAGGGATCAGAAATAAGATCAGGGGCAAGGGTAGGCCCACTCAAAAGTTCCCCCGGTCAGCTCCAATTACAGTGATAAGGGAAAAGTGTAGAATTTTTTTTAAAACATACTTCCCCCTCAGTTTTTTCAAGGGGGGAAAACCCCGCGATATTCCAGTAAAAGATAAATTTTGTAGAACAGGGCTTTAAAAAAACTGTGCACGATTAGGGTCACAAGTGACATGGTCCTTAGGGAAATTTGATAAAAATTTAAAAACCCAACAAATCCCCCGGCCCCATGAATGTATGCAAGGGTTCTAAAGGAAGTAAAAAGGAGCTTAGGGACACGTTTTGGGTAACTTTTCAAATATCACTTTAAAAAAAAACTGGGGAGGGGGCCAGATAAGTGGAAAAAGGGCCCAAAAATTTTACCTATTTTCAAAACAGGTGACGGTCCTTAGCTTCGAATATAGACCAATAAGCCTAACCTCCAAGTGGGGAAAAATTTTTTGGAATCAATAATTGCCTACAGTTTGTTTGCCATCTTTTAAAAAAATAAAAAAAACAACGGGAAACTCACATGGTTTTACAAAAAGGGGGGTTTTCCCCCCTTACGAATTTATTAACTTTTTTTTACTAAAGGGATTTGAGGAGGTAGATCATGTAATGAATATGATATTGGGGTTTTATGGAAAAACAATAAGGCTTTTGACAGGGGCCCACATCAGAGCTATTGAGGAAAAATTTAAATACATGGAATAGGAGGAGAAAATTTTCCGGGGTAGAGGCAAAGGTTTTAAAAAAATAGGGAGCAGAGATTTGCATAAAAAAGGGGGGGAAATCAGGGGTGGGGAAATGTCACGAGCGGTGTTTCCACAGGGGTCAGTGTTGGGCCCCCTGCCGTTCACAATCTACATAAAAAGACATAGATGAGGGGAAAAGAGCGAATCGGGAAGTTTGCCCATGACACCAAAAAAGGCCGTTTGAATTTATTCTGACGAGGGCATTCGGAAACACTCCAGGGGAAAATTTGAAAAAAGACTGATGCAGTGGCGGAGAAGTGGCAGATGCAGTTTAATATTGACAAATGCAAAGTTCTAAATGTTGGGGACAGGACAATAACCATGCCACATATAAACTAAATAATGTAGATTTTAAATATTACGGATTGCGAAAAAGATTTACTAGTTCTGGTTAGCAGTAATCGGGAAACCAAGACAACAGTGCATAAGTGTTCGCAATAAAGCTAATAGAATCCTTGGCTTCATATCAAGAAGCATAAATAATAGGAGTCCTCAGGTTGTTCTCAACTCTATACATCCTTGGTTAGGCCTCATTTAGATTATGCTGCACAGTTTTGGTAAACCGTATTACAGAATGGATATAAATTCTCTGGAAAATGTACAAAGGAGGATGACAAGTTGATCCCATGTATCAGAAACCTTCCCTATGAGGATAGACTAAGGGCCCGGGAAACTGCACTCTCAAAAGACGTAAAATTTTAGGGGGGAAAATGATTGAGGTGTATAAATGGAAGACAGGAATAATAAAGGGGATGTAAATAGTGTGCTGAAAATATCTAGCCTAGACAGGACTCGCAGCAATGGTTTTAATTTGGGAAAAAAATTCAGATTCAGGAAGGATATAGGAAAGTATGGTTTGGTAATAGAGTTGTGGATGAGTGGAACAAACTCCCAAGTACCGTTATAGAGGCCAGGACGTTGTGTAGCTTTAAAAATAGGTTGGATAAATACATGAGTAGATGTGGGTGGGTGAGTTAGACCTGATAGCTTGTGCTACCAGGTCGGTTGCCGTGTTCCTCCCTTAAGTCAATGTGACCTGACCTGACTAGGTTGGGTGCATTGGCTTAAGCCGGTAGGAGACTTGGACCTGCCTCGCATGGGCCAGTAGGCCTTCTGCAGTGTTCCTTCGTTCTTATGTTCTTATAACGTAGTCACGAGCAAGTGTTCCATATAACGTAGTCACGAGCAAGTGTTCCATATAACGTAGTCACAAGCAAGTGTTCCATATAACGTAGTCACAAGCAAGTGTTCCATATAACGTAGTCACGAGCAAGTGTTCCATATAACGTAGTCACGAGCAAGTGTTCCATATAACGTAGTCACGAGCAAGTGTTCCATATAAAGTAGTCACAAGCAAGTGTTCCATATAACGTAGTCACGAGCAAGTGTTCCATATAACGTAGTCACGAGCAAGTGTTCCATATAACGTAGTCACGAGCAAGTGTTCCATATAACGTAGTCACGAGCAAGTGTTCCATATAACGTAGTCACGAGCAAGTGTTCCATATAACGTAGTCACGAGCAAGTGTTCCATATAACGTAGTCACAAGCAAGTGTTCCATATAACGTAGTCACGAGCAAGTGTTCCATATAACTAGTCACGAGCAAGTGTTCCATATAACGTAGTCACGAGCAAGTGTTCCATATAACGTAGTCACGAGCAAGTGTTCCACATAATGTAGTCACGAGCAAGTGTTCCATATAACGTAGTCACGAGCAAGTGTTCCATATAACGTAGTCACGAGCAAGTGTTCCATATAACGTAGTCACGAGCAAGTGTTCCATATAATGTAGTCACGAGCAAGTGTTCCACAAATATAACGTAGTCACAAGCAAGTGTTCCATATAACGTAGTCACGAGCAAGTGTTCCCTATAATGTAGTCACGAGCAAGTGTTCCCTATAATGTAGTCACGAGCAAGTGTTCCATATAACGTAGTCACAAGCAAGTGTTCCATATAACGTAGTCACGAGCAAGTGTTCCCTATAATGTAGTCACAAGCAAGTGTTCACTTATGATAACTGTCTCGTGAGAGACATGATGGTTGTCAGTCATTCAGTCATCATACTGATGCTTGTCTCTAGAGGGACGTCTCCCACGCACGGGTTCCTCTCTTTCAGTATATAAGAGAGCGTGAGAAGATGATCTGCCATTTAGCTCTCCCATCCCCGGGCAAGCACACTCACCTGCCTCTCACCCTCAACACACAGGTAAGATCTGTCTCACGCTCACGGTGTCACCCCGACATGATACAACCAGCTTCCACGCCGGCCAAGATTAAATAACTGAAATTTGAGCTATTGTACTCACCTAATTGTGGTTGCAGGGGTCAAGACTCAGCTCCTGGCCCCGCCTCTTCACTGAACGCTAATAGGTCCTCTCTCTCCCTGCTCCCTGAGCTTCATCATACCTCGTCTTAAAGCTATGTATGGTTCCTGCCTCCACTACATCATTCGCCAGACTATTCCACTTCCTGACAACTCTATGACTGAAGAAATACTTCCTAACATCCCTGTGACTCATCTGAGTCTTCAACTTCCAAGAATGACCCCTCATTTCTGTGGCCCCTCTCTGGAACATCTTGTCTGTGTTGTGTGTGTGTGTGTGTGTGTGTGTGTGTGTGTGTGTGTGTGTGTGTGTGTGTGTGTGTGTGTGTGTGTGTGTGTGTGTTTGTGTGTGTGTGTGTGTGACAGATTTACAATGGTTTAAAATTTAATAGCTTAAATTTACAATAGTTAATATACCAGTATTTATTTACAACCATAAATTTTTTAATAAACAAATTTAGTCTGGCAGCTTGTGGTATTATCGTGATATTTTGAACAATATTTCACGAGACTTAAAAAATAAATTATTTATATATATATATTTATATATATATAATATATATATATATATATATATATATATTATATATATAATATATATATAATATATATATATATATATATATATTATATATATATATATATATATAATATATATATATATATATATAATATATATATAAATCATGTTTTATATTACGGACTTATAGTACACATAAACCAACCTTCATAAAGTTTTGTAAAATATTTAAATATTTTTTGCTAGAATTTAGGCAATTTTTTTTATCTGTTGATAAGTAGCTAAAATATACACTGTAGCAAATATACACTGAAGCATGCACCTGTAGGTGTATGTCTCAGTGTATAAATTCGCTCAGTGTATGTCTCAGTGTTTGCTGATAGTTTTGTTTTAATTCTAATTTTAGGTAGTTCAGTATTCTTGACTGGTGGTGGACACTTTACAAGTAGGTTTAGTGACCCTCGTGTACTAGATGGACTTAAACTCAATTAATCTAACGAATGTGGATTTACGGACAAAAAATGCATCTCTGCTTTTGAGATGAAGGTGTTCCGCATGTTAACATGCTAAATGCGTTCTTAATGACCTACGTGCACTGACTGACAGCCGGTGAACTGACTGACAGCCTCTGCACTGACAACCTCTGCACTGACAGTCTCTGCACTGACAGCCTCTGCACTGACAGCCTCTGCACTGACAGCCTCTGCACTGACAGTTTCTGCACTGACAGCCTCTGCACTGACAGCCTCTGCACTGACAACCTCTGCACTGACAACCTCTGCACTGACAGCCTCTGCACTGACAGCCTCTGCACTGACAGCCTCTGCACTGACAGCCTCTGCACTGACAGCCTCTGCACTGACAGCCTCTGCACTGACAACCTCTGCACTGACAGCCTCTGCACTGACAGCCTCTGCACTGACAGCCTCTGCACTGACAGCCTCTGCACTGACAACCTCTGCACTGACAGCCTCTGCACTGACAACCTCTGCACTGACAGCCTCTGCACTGACAACCTCTACACTGACAACCTCTGCACTGACAACCTCTGCACTGACAGCCTCTGCACTGACAGCCTCTGCACTGACAACCTCTGCACTGACAGCCTCTGCACTGACAACCTCTACACTGACAACCTCTGCACTGACAGCCTCTGCACTGACAGCCTCTGCACTGACAGCCTCTGCACTGACAACCTCTGCACTGACAGCCTCTGCACTGACAGCCTCTGCACTGACAGCCTCTGCACTGACAACCTCTGCACTGATGCACTGACAGCCTCTGCACTGACAGCCTCTGCACTGACAGCCTCTGCACTGACAGCCTCTGCACTGACAACCTCTGCACTGACAGCCTCTGCACTGACAGCCTCTGCACTGACAACCTCTGCACTGACAGCCTCTGCACTGACAGCCTCTGCACTGACAACCTCTGCACTGACAGCCTCTTCACTGACAGCCTCTGCACTGACAACCTCTGCACTGACAGCCTCTGCACTGACAGCCTCTGCACTGACAACCTCTGCACTGACAGCCTCTGCACTGACAGCCTCTGCACTGACAGCCTCTGCACTGAGAACCTCTGCACTGACAGCCTCTGCACTGACAGCCTCTGCACTGACAGCCTCTGCACTGACAGCCTCTGCACTGACAACCTCTGCACTGACAGCCTCTGCACTGACAGCCTCTGCACTGACAACCTCTGCACTGACAGCCTCTGCACTGACAGCCTCTGCACTGACAACCTCTGCACTGACAGCCTCTGCACTGACAGCCTCTGCACTGACAGCCTCTGCACTGACAGCCTCTGCACTGACAGCCTCTGCACTGACAACCTCTGCACTGACAGCCTCTGCACTGACAGCCTCTGCACTGACAGCCTCTGCACTGACAGCCTCTGCACTGACAACCTCTGCACTGACAGCCTCTGCACTGACAGCCTCTGCACTGACAACCTCTGCACTGACAGCCTCTGCACTGACAGCCTCTGCACTGACAACCTCTGCACTGACAGCCTCTGCACTGACAGCCTCTGCACTGACAGCCTCTGCACTGACAGCCTCTGCACTGACAGCCTCTGCACTGACAAACAATCTGGCCTCCTAAGAAAATCAAGTGTTAAGGAAATAATTAAAGAATATTGAGAAGAACATCGTCGCTACAGTGAGCACATTGTTAGTTTTCCCAGCAATTTTTGTCTCTTGTTTATTGACTCACATTCGCCAACTTTCTCACATTCGCCAACTCTCTCACATTCGCCAACTTTCTCACATTCGCCAACTTCGTGCACGTCAACTTTTGTTGCGTTTCCTTTTGTTAATTTTGCACAAATTTAACAAACTAATTGATTATAATAAAAAAGAATATGCAAAGTGCCAGTTACTGGAGGACTGAAGATAATTATGGGAAAGCGCTAAACTCGTGTGGGTCACACAATACCTGGGAAAGAGGTAGCTAAATCTGAGTGGAGGAAAAAGGGAGGTTAACTCCAGTTCCCCGGAACAAAAGCAATTCACCGGAAACGTACATTCCCTCCTCTCCCTCCTTCTCCCCTTCGTAAACACGGAATACATTTTGATGGACAAAACTTCAGGAATAAACTCTGTATTCATTGTCTTTGTCTACGGTTTTTAAACAGTTTAAGAACTCACTTTTTTTATGAAGACCAGTTAGTCCTTATTACTAAGAAACGAACTTGGTAATTTCGTAGTTGAAAACCTGCTTGAGGACCCATGTATGTAAGGAAGACGTTGTGTACATGGGTGATAAGCAGTGGTTTTATCATTCCAATACAGAACAGATAGGTAGGAGTTGTGGAACAAGTATTTTCGGAATCATGGCACTGCTTGTGTTTTGAGCTGTGGTGTTGATATTAGCCATGAGAGCTGGTGTGACATAGGTCTGATTCCTGGAAGACAAGCCTGGCATTTTGGAAATTCTTGAGATTGTGAGTTTTCCAGAGTGTGGTGCAGAGCAGACATTGTTGAAATCGTCCCTCTGGAAAGCATATTTCTCTTTATTGATACGTTATTTGAGGCTGCTTGATATAACCTTCACGTATAGTCTGTCATATGTTCCATATGGGATGCTGTTAACTACAAGTGATGGATTCATTGTGTTGAATGTTCCTCTCTGGTGACAGGTTTATGATGGTGTGGAAAGTCATGCTGCTTGTATGGATCTTACTTTTAGCAACAAATTTTAGATGTTTTCAGAAAGCTGTCCAACTGAGAGAATAGTGTACCGGTGTAGAGTGATTATTGGTGTGGAAGATCTTTAGCAACTTTATTTCTATAATTGTTAATGAAATGTGTTAGACACTGTAGTAAATAGTTGCATTCTTATCGTGAAAGACAAGGGGCGAGGTTCCTTGAGCTCTCGAAGAAGTCCTTGATGATGGCTCATTCCGTTAATTGGCATAAGCGTTTCGAAAATATTCCATTAACTCGTTAAGTGGACGGTGGCTTTACCTTGAAGCTTTAAATTAATATGTAATAATTCGCTTCGGACAGTAAGATCATCTAACCACGGCGATGGTAGGTTGACTCTGATCAGCCAGTAAAAAATGTTTATCGTGATATTCAGCGTGGAAGAAAATATCTAAGAAACCAGTGATACGGATTAATCCCTTTTCTCAGGACAGACTATGTAAATCTGAAGTCATTTCACTGCAGATGTACTTTGTGTTTATTCTATATATACAAATAATTACGTAGTAATGTGGAAGAAATGTAACGGCACGCGTAGTTTAATGCTGCCATTTTCCATATATTGGGAATATTAGACAACACTCGCTTCGCCTGAGTGATATTCGGAGCATTCTGCAGTTGCTATCCCCTTGTATTAAGACGTATATTGAAGATCTTATCAGATCTTAAGCGTTTGATTGTGGGAAAAAATTATGGATGAAGCAGCAGCTGAAGTACCTCATTGTAACTATCCAATCCTGCTAAGCAAAGATCTGGTTTTTACTTCGGCTCAAGACTCATGATTAACCTTCTTAGGTAAGAGGACAAGAGTTCCTTGACGCTGATCTTAGTCTGTATGATGACCCGCCGCTGGAGCTTTTGGTCCTCTGATCGAGGCCTTCCGTTAGCTTACGGGTCCACCCCTTTAAAAATTATAGTTATGATTATGACCATTTCATTATATATTTAACCTACTGTCACTAAATCATGCTTCCTGTTTTCTCGTTATCTTCCTGTTTTCTGTTTTCGGATGCAAACGTAGACTTGCCTGTGTCTATCACTGCATTTATTAAAGCTAAAGGAAATAAATTGCAATTGGTAAAATTTGGTTGACGTTAATCTGACATAAATAGATTATGTAGAGAAACTAGTTTAAGCCTACAACGAAAAAAAAAAGTTTGTTGAAGGGCGATGAATGATAACAAGCCAACACTGCACTGCATGAATAACATTATGCATCAGTCTCTCTCAAGAGTACGAATGTTAGTGAGCGTAAATAACAAGACATACGCAGAGAGAGGTGTATTTCTTTCAGCGTATATATGCTGAATTTACATTAATCCCTATTTTAGGAATTAAAGTATTCCTGTCTTGTGTAGCCTTAATGGGCCTTGAGCAGTCAGTAAGCTTGCAACTCCATTAACTAAGCAACTAGCCATAAATATAAGTATGGTGATGAAGCTTAAGCTTGACCAGCCTCTGATATAATACTAAACTCTACTTGTTCTTCAAGTTGTTATTAGCGCCAGTAGTGAAGCAATAACAACTAGAAGTGACGCCTTAAAATTTAAATGTATACATTATTATGAAGATCTCTTAAAGACGGCACTGAATACTGTATACATTAATGTATACAGTATTCAGTATGATCATACATGGATAAGTTTCTCAGTAGCTCAATAGAATGGTCACACTGCAGTCAAAATATTTTTGTATAATAGAAATTATCTGTCGTTCTAAAAAATATTAGTAACTGAACATAAGTGATGTGTGTGTGGAAAATTACATTTATCTGAATGTATCATTATGTACACAACAGTAAATGAACAAAGATAACTATTATTTATCAGTTAGACAAGTAGGAATTTGGGACACCTAGGTCGCAAAAAATGTCCCCCTTCGATACCTACAACTGTCATATCCACAAGTTGCTCTAGACCTATTAATTACAAATGAAAAATACATCACCAGGAATGCTAGTAAATATATATATTTACCAGCATATATTAAAAATAATAAATGATTATATATATATACACATATACATAACAGAAAGAGAATATCTTAATATCACTCACCAATTTGACTGGAGATTAAGGTGTATCATACTCAGAAAACCTCACTGTCTAAATTTATGAAAATACTGGCCAGAATTAAACATAAACAGACTTATCTGAGGTTCCTGGAGCTGTCTTGTCCAGTCGCCTGATACTCAAATTATGCAGGAATGCACATCCAACAATTTCGCCTCCTATTTGAGAGGTGTCAGCCCAATTTTAACCTCTAGAGCACGAAAAAATCTTCCCATTATGCTAACGTTTATTTAGCTCATTCAAAACCAAAATGGCGAGTGTCCTTCACAGGCGCAGCTTTCCATTTTCGATAACAATTTTTATTAAATACAATATAGGCCATCTATTTACCTATAAATTACCGTATTTCTGGAAAATATATACAGTATTTTCCATAGTGTGTTAATTCAGTAGTATTTAAATCGTTTCTGATTTTGAGCAATTAAATAAATTTATAATTTTAGCATGTGTTCAAAATTTGTCATTGTGTGCCCTATCCTTATTCAAATGTTTCTAATGTTTATTGTAGATTCGACGGGTATATACACAGATATATATTTCAGTGTTTATACCTTCAAAAGTATATTGTAATCCCTATTACAGGAATTAATTTATATTTATTATTAGTGTAAGGGTTAACAGCGGTCTTAATGGCCCAAATGCAGGAGCTAGGACTTGCCTAGTAGACTAACTAGCGTAGTTGGTGTGGTAGATATGCAGATGGGTGTGGGCGTGGTGATGGTGGTGAGTGTTGTGGGCGCTGCTTCTGCCTGCTTCATCACCAACTGTCCTCCTGGAGGCAAGAGATCAGGACCTTCAGTACAGCTTAACAACTTACGAGCGGTGAGTACTCACTCCTCCACACTCAAGTTACAATACCATCACTTGTTTCAGAACCCACAAACTGACAATTAAAATTGGATGCCGCTTCGGTCGGTCCTGGACCATTAAACCACAGAACACGTGTTAGTCGACTGGTGTGGGTCGCATCCTGGGACAAAACTGACCTAATTTGCCCGAAATGCTCAGCATAAAAAGGGGCTTTCTATATTTTTTTTTATTCGCCGGTACTCTCCCGGCCCGGGTCTTTTCCAAGAGTGGTGACCCGGCCTTGGCTCCCTATCTGGGGAATGTCTCGAGACCTAAGTCTCCCATGGGAGGAGGTACAAGTACCCCCTCATCTTTGGGACCAAGAGTCCCCACGCCTAGCCACAGTCCCCGTCCTCACGGGGCTCGCAGGGAGAAGTTAGGCCTCTGGTCTGCCATCTGCCCCGCCCCAAAGGGTCTCGTGGGGATGGCAGTCTTGTGAGCTGCAGGTAGTAGCAAGCTCAGGCTTCTCTTTGGGCTTTCTATGTAGTAGTATATCATTGATGTTAGCTAGGACTGTACACCTTGTACATGTACTTGTAAATAAAGATATTATTATATTATTGTTATTATTATGTGGCTCGTTTCGTTCGCTAGTCTCGTCTTGTTTATGTGGTACATAGTGTCAAGGTGTTAATGTTGCGGTCAGGCTGCTTGTAGTTTAACAGCTTATTTACAATATTAATTAGTCATATAAACTTCTGACTTAATTAGGAACATCAGTCGAACATGCATGTTTCTTCAGTTGTAAATATGAGACATGAATATTAATGTTAACCTTCGAATTCACAACTTTATTAACAAACTAGTTGCATGTTTCTTGCATTTCTTAACTAATGTTGAACTAGGTTCGTCTCTGTTAACGAGTCTCATTATATTACACATTTTCCATTAATTATTACATTTTTTAATATTCGCCAGTGTATCTAAATCTTAGTTATAAAGTGTGTCTTGATTATATATAAAGATTAACAGCTGTATAATAAGATATCCTCGGCTAAGTGGGATGCTGATTCATAAATAAGCTTCATATTCTGTTTACGTCCACGTAGCCTAAGTACACTTTTAAATTTCTTTGCTTCATTATTATCATTTTTAGCTTAGTTCTGCACAATATACTGTGCGTGGGAGTATCTCAGACATTACTACCCTTTTAAATTACCTGTAATCATTGATAATTTATAAATTTGCCTCCAAGTTATTCTCTTCAAAATAACTCTGAAGTTGAAATCGTTGTGCAAATAATAGCGGAAGATTTTAACATCGGCAGTGTACGTCATGTGGTCCTGGTTTGAGAGGTCGCTGCCTGGGTCCAGAAATCTGCTGTGGGCCGGGTATTGGTTGTTTCCTGGGTACCCGGGAGGCCAGGCTGTGCCGAGCCGAGAACCTGGTGCCTCTCACCTGCACCAACACAGACCTCAAGATCTGTGGCAGGCTACAAGAGGGTCACTGTGCTGCCTCTGGTCTTTGCTGCACAGAGAGTAAGTTTTGTGTTCTACGACGATTCTGGTCGGATTTTTTTTATTTACTTTAGCATTTAGTGTTATAATTTAGTTATGCAGCTTTACAAGAGTATAACTGCTCTGGTCACAGTAAGATAGCCTATAATTAAAACAGCATTGATCTTAAGAGTGTGACAAGATGTTAGTGGTTGTATATTTTTTTTACGATTATTTTTTTTTTTGCAGCTTAACACACTCGAAGGTAACAGCATATATTTTTTGTCGTAACTTCTGGTCTATAAAGACATTAGTTTTTACTACTAACAGTCTGAGAAATAACTCTTAGCTTTAAAAGCAATAGTTTCTGAGGCACAGTCTCTCTCTCTCTCTCTCTCTCTCTCTCTCTATCTATCTATCTATCTCTATCTCTCCCTTATACATTATATATATATATATATATATATATATATATATATATATATATATATATATATATATATATATATAATAGAGTGCCAATTTGCTTTTAGTAATTCTTTCTGATTACTGTTATCTACCAGATGTTTGTAAGACACCACATACAGGTTTACGTGTATGATCAAGAACTTTCACCAGCATCAAAGCCCTATCTTTAAGGAATGTCTATACCGTCGTGTCTTCTGGTAGTTACCACATTAAAACGTGAATGCTGTCTCATACTACCTTGTATAGGAGTAGTATGCGTGAATAATAGAGTAATCTCATATGTAACCAGTGTGTAAATACACGATTTATCAAATGTGTAATTACATGTGTAATTGATGTTTAATCTCACCTGTAGTAAATGTTTAATTTTAAATTATCAGTATATTTAATCTTGTGTAATAATTTCATAGTAAGAGATTTGGATCAGAACGGCTCAAACTTAGTGTGGAAGTTCAGATATAAATGCTAAATTACTTGGGTTTGAGCCTTGACTAGCTCAAGAGTTACTTAACACTTAGTTTCAGTGTGCAGATATGGAACATGGCCTATATCCAGTGTATTTACTCCGCAGTGAAGTGCGAGTTCGACAACAGCTGCTTGGTGGAGGCCAGAGAGAGTGTAGAGGTCCAGGAGGTAGAGAGACAACGTTTTGCTCTCTTTCCCAGTCTTCCCGACGACCAATGGAGCCTTTGATCATGCACACATCGACAACTGGAATCTTCTTTCCTCAGCACGCAACGTAGTCTTGCACATCGCCACATAGTGCCACAGTGTCAACACCCACATGCAGTGGTTGCCACACTATGGCATCCCTAGGCTTGAAGAGCTGAACTGCCAGACCTGTCACCACACTGTTCCTACGATGTTTCTGGTGCTCTTATTAAACATGTTGATTGCGTTTTGCCTCTTGTATCATATGATTAACATTGAAAATACAAGTCGAAGTGTAAACAGGTTCATCAATAAATATCTGCATGTACCAATAAACCAAAGTATTAATGTCAGGAAAGTGCAATCCATCTTCCACATTTGTTATCGTGCGGGTTAAAATGCGTGAACGAATTTTCGTTATGAACCTCGTGTTGCCGGAAGCCACTAGTTATTTATATCTTTATTGCCGGGTATTATACAGAATAAGATAATAAACGCCAATCTAAGTCTATCCTAATCTAAAAGGAAAGCGCTAAAACACTATGGCACCTCCATTCACGCTAAAAACTACGCACGGTGAAGTGAAGATGGCTGGAACACTGGCTGGAACACTGGCTGGAACACGATGGTTGGAACACTATGGCTGGAACACTATGGCTAGAACACTATGGCTGGAACACTATGGCTGGAACACTGGCTGGAACACTATGGCTGGAACACTATGGCTGGAACACTATGGCTGGAACACTGGCTGGAACACTATGGCTGGAACACTATGGCTGGAACACGATGAGTGTAACACAATGGTTGAAACGACCAGATGAATCTTTCTGCTCATGCGGAAAACCTTGAATCATCTCATTAGTTATTCCTTCTGACACACCTGGTGATGCCGTTGCCCAAATAAATTAATATGATCTATATATTTTCGTAGTTTTCTTATTCTTGGGATTGTGTGTACTCACCTAGTTGTGGTTTCAGGGGTCGAGTCACAGCTCTTGGCCCCCACCTCTTCACTGGTAGTTACTAAGTCTCTTTCTGCTCAATGAGATTTATCATACCTCTTCTTAAAGCTATGTATGGATCCTGCCTCCATTATATCACTTCCCAGACAATTCCACTTCCTGATAAATCTGTGACTGAAGAAATACTTCCTAACATCCCTGTGATTTATCCGAGACTTCGTCTTCCAACTGTGACCTCTTGTTCCTGTGTAGCATCTCTAGAACTTCCTCTCTCTGTATACCTTGTGTGTGTGTGTGTGTGTGTGTGTGTGTGTGTGTGTGTGTGTGTGTGTGTGTGTGTGTGTGTGTTGTGTGTGTGTGTGTGTGTGTGTGTGCGTGTGTGTCTGTGTGTGTGTTTGTGTGTACTTTGAAACTTAATTTGGGTGAAATGCGCAAACCTTAAGAAGTACTTGGTTTAATATATGGTGCATTTTACTTACAAGATTAATGTAAACACTTTAGAGAGCACTTCTCACTCCCACACCACACACTCACACCACACTCTAACACCACACACACACCCACCACACACCCACAACCACCCCACCCACCCCACACACTCACACCACACTCCCACACCACACACTCACACCACACTCCAACACCACACACTCACACCACACTCCAACACCACACACCCACACCACACTCCAACACCACACACACACACCACACCTCCAACACCACACACTCACAACCCCACTCCCACCACCACACACCCACACTACACACTCCCCAACCACCACACCCACACCACACCCCACACCCCCACACCCACCCCACATACCCACACCACACATCACACACCCACCACCCCACACCACACACCCCACACCACCCACACCACCCCACCCACACCACACACCCACACCACACCCCCACCACACCACAACACCCACACCACACACCCACACCACACACCCACACCCACACCACACACCCACACCACACACCCACACAACACCCACACACACACCCACACCACCACCACACCACACACCCACACCACACACACCCACACCACACCCACACCCACCCACCACACCAACACCCACCCCACACACCCACAACCCACACCACACACCCACACCACACCCACACCACACACCACACACCCACACCACACACCCACATCCCATCCCATTCTGTAATAAATGCTGATCACGGGCTAAAACCTCAGCTAATAGATGGAGACATCGAGAGTCCCTTGATGGTGAAGGGTTGTTAATCCAAGGAACTGAAGATACCATCCCCTTCCTTGAATCAATCCTTAATACTTCCCATTCCCCAGGAGCCAAATGACCCACACGGTTCACTCTTTCCCACTGAAGTTATTTTTAATATATCGTACATCAGCTGCTGTACACTAGCACAGCTCTCTCTTGCTGTACACTGACACAGCTCTCTCCTGCTGTACACTAACACAGCTCTCTCTTGCTGTACACTAACACAGCTCTCTCCTGCTGTACACTAACACAGCTCTCTCCTGCTGTACACTAACACAGCTCTCTCCTGCTGTACACTAACACAGCTCTCTTCTGCTGTACACTAACACAGCTCTCTCCTGTTGTACACTAACACAACACTCTCCTGCTGTACACTAACACAGCTCTCTCCTGCTGTACACTAACACAGCATCCTCCTGCTGTACACTAACACAACACTCTCCTGCTGTATATTGTCACAGAATCCTCCTGTTGTACACTGACACAGCATCCTCCTGCTGTACACTGACACAGCATCCTCCTGCTGTACACTAACACAACACTCTCCTGCTGTATATTGTCACAGAATCCTCCTGCTGTACACTAACACAGCTCTCTCCTGCTGTACACTGACACAGCATCCTCCTGCTGTACACTAACACAGCTCTCTCCTGCTGTACACTAACACAGCTCTCTCCTGTTGTACACTAACACAGCTCTCTCCTGCTGTACACTAACACAACACTCTCCTGCTGTACACTAACACAGCTCTCTCCTGCTGTACACTAACACAGCTCTCTCCTGCTGTACACTAACACAACTCTCTCCTGCTGTACACTAACACAGCTCTCTCCTGCTGTACACTAACATAGTTCTCTCCTGCTGTACAATAACACAACAGTATCCTGCTGTACATTAACACAGCTCTCTCCTGCTGTACACTAACACAACACTCTCCTGCTGCATATTGTCACAGAATCCTCCTGCTGTACACTAACACAGCATCCTCCTGCTGTACACTGACACAGCATCCTCCTCCTGTACACTAACACAGCTCTCTCCTGCTGTACACTAGCACAACACTCTCCTGCTGTACACTAACACAGCTATCTCCTGCTGTACACCAACACAGCTCTCTCCTGCTGTACACTAACACAGCATCCTCCTGCTGTACACTAACACAACACTCTCCTGCTGTATATTGTCTCAGAATCCTTCTGCTGTACACTGACACATCCTCCTTCTGCTGTACACTGACACAGCATCCTCCTGCTGTACACTGACACAGCTCTCTCCTGCTGTACACTAACACAACACTCTCCTACTGTACACTGACACAGCTCTCTCCTGCTGTACACTAACACAGCTCTCTCCTGCTGTACACTAACACAACACTCTCCTGCTGTACACTAACACAACACTCTCCTGCTGTACACTAACTCAACACTCTCCTGCTGTACACTAACACAACACTCTCCTGCTGTACACTAACACAGCTCTCTCCTGCTGTACACTAACACAACACTCTCCTGCTGTACACTGACACAGCTCTCTCCTGCTGTACACTAACACAGCTCTCTCCTGCTGTACACTGACAAAGCTCTCTCCTGCTGTACACTAACACAGCTCTCTCCTGCTGTACACTAACACAACACTCTCCTGCTGTACACTAACACAGCTCTCTCCTGCTGTACACTAACTCAGCTCTCTCATGCTGTACACTAACACAACACTCTCCTGCTGTACACTAACACAACACTCTCCTGCTGTACACTAACACAACACTCTCCTGCTGTACACTAACACAGCTCTCTCCTGCTGTACACTAACACAACACTCTCCTGCTGTACACTAACACAGCTCTCTCCTGCTGTACACTAACACAGCTCTCTCCTCCTGTACACTAACACAACACTCTCCTGCTGTACACTAACACAACACTCTCCTGTTGTGCACTAACACAACACTCTCCTGCTGTACACTACACAGCTCTCTCCTGTTGTACACTAACACAACACTCTCCTGCTGTACACTAACACAACACTCTCCTGCTGTACACTAACACAACACTCTCCTGCTATACACTAACACAGCTCTCTCCTGCTGTACACTAACACAACACTCTCCTGCTGTACACTAACACAACACTCTCCTGCTGTACACTAACACAGCTCTCTCCTGTTGTACACTAACACAACACTCTCGCTGTACACTAACACAGCTCTCTCCTGTTGTACACTAACACAACACTCTCCTGCTGTACACTAACACAGCTCTCTCCTGCTGTACACTAACACAGCTCTCTCCTGTTGTACACTAACACAACACTCTCCTGCTGTACACTAACACAGCTCTCTCCTGTTGTACACTAACACAGCTCTCTCCTGCTGTACACTAACACAACACTCTCCTGCTGTACACTAACACAACACTCTCCTGTTGTGCACTAACACAACACTCTCCTGCTGTACACTAACACAGCTCTCTCCTGTTGTACACTAACACAACACTCTCCTGCTGTACACTAACACAACACTCTCCTGCTGTACACTAACACAACACTCTCCTGCTATACACTAACACAGCTCTCTCCTGCTGTACACTAACACAACACTCTCCTGCTGTACACTAACACAGCTCTCTCCTGTTGTACACTAACACAACACTCTCCTGCTATACACTAACACAACACTCTCCTGCTGTACACTAACACAGCTCTCTCCTGCTGTACACTAACACAGCTCTCTCCTGCTGTACACTAACACAACACTCTCCTGCTGTACACTAACACAACACTCTCCTGCTGTACACTAACACAACACTCTCCTGCTGTACACTAACACAACACTCTCCTGCTGTACACTAACACAACACTCTCCTGCTGTACACTGACACAGCTCTCTCCTGCTGTACACTAACACAACACTCTCCTGCTGTACACTGACACAGCTCTCTCCTGCTGTACACTAACACAGCTCTCTCCTGCTGTACACTGACAAAGCTCTCTCCTGCTGTACACTAACACAGCTTTCTCCTGCTGTACACTAACACAACACTCTCCTGCTGTACACTAACACAACACTCTCCTGCTGTACACTAACACAGCTCTCTCCTGTTGTACACTAACACAACACTCTCCTGCTGTACACTAACACAACACTCTCCTGCTGTACACTAACACAACACTCTCCTGCTGTACACTAACACAGCTCTCTCCTGCTGTACACTAACACAACACTCTCCTGCTGTACACTAACACAACACTCTCATGCTGTACACTAACACAGCTCTCTCCTGTTGTACACTAACACAACACTCTCCTGCTGTACACTAACACAACACTCTCCTGCTGTACACTAAACAAACACTCTCCTGCTGTACACTGACACAGCTCTCTCCTGCTGTACACTAACACAACACTCTCCTGCTGTACACTGACACAGCTCTCTCCTGCTGTACACTAACACAGCTCTCTCCTGCTGTACACTGACAAAGCTCTCTCCTGCTGTACACTAACACAGCTCTCTCCTGCTGTACACTAACACAACACTCTCCTGCTGTACACTAACACAGCTCTCTCCTGCTGTACACTAACTCAGCTCTCTCATGCTGTACACTAACACAACACTCTCCTGCTGTACACTAACACAACACTCTCCTGCTGTACACTAACACAACACTCTCCTGCTGTACACTAACACAGCTCTCTCCTGCTGTACACTAACACAACACTCTCCTGCTGTACACTAACACAGCTCTCTCCTGCTGTACACTAACACAGCTCTCTCCTGCTGTACACTAACACAACACTCTCCTGCTGTACACTAACACAACACTCTCCTGTTGTGCACTAACACAACACTCTCCTGCTGTACACTAACACAGCTCTCTCCTGTTGTACACTAACACAACACTCTCCTGCTGTACACTAACACAACACTCTCCTGCTGTACACTAACACAACACTCTCCTGCTATACACTAACACAGCTCTCTCCTGCTGTACACTAACACAACACTCTCCTGCTGTACACTAACACAACACTCTCCTGCTGTACACTAACACAGCTCTCTCCTGTTGTACACTAACACAACACTCTCCTGCTGTACACTAACACAGCTCTCTCCTGTTGTACACTAACACAACACTCTCCTGCTGTACACTAACACAGCTCTCTCCTGCTGTACACTAACACAGCTCTCTCCTGTTGTACACTAACACAACACTCTCCTGCTGTACACTAACACAGCTCTCTCCTGTTGTACACTAACACAACACTCTCCTGCTGTACACTAACACAACACTCTCCTGCTGTACACTAACACAGCTCTCTCCTGCTGTACACTAACACAGCTCTCTCCTGCTGTACACTAACACAACACTCTCCTGCTGTACACTAACACAACACTCTCCTGCTGTACACTAACACAACACTCTCCTGCTGTACACTAACACAGCTCTCTCCTGTTGTACACTAACACAACACATCTCCTGCTATACACTAACACAACACTCTCCTGCTGTACACTAACACAGCTCTCTCCTGCTGTACACTAACACAGCTCTCTCCTGCTGTACACTAACACAACACTCTCCTGCTGTACACTAACACAACACTCTCCTGCTGTACACTAACACAACACTCTCCTGCTGTACACTAACACAGCTCTTTCTTGCTGTACACTAACACAACACTCTCCTGCTGTACACTAACACAACAC